TCTCACTTTATCGCTGATCACGAGATAGAACTGCCTGTTCGCAACTCTACAACACGGTTTCCTGGATACATTTTCGTTATCGACCCACACGTACGTACACCAATAAGCCCAAGAAGAGTCTTTGTGACCGTGCAAGTAGAGTACAAACACTGATTTCTCGTTTATCGCTAATTGCTAGTTTCAGAGACATTTTGTTCGGACAGCGAACCAGAGTCGCTTCGTTAATTACAAGATGCGTCACTGAGCCAATCGTGCAGTAGTAAAAAGTACGTGCAAATCGACGACTATGTATAGGTTGTCAATGCTTACATTAATTTATCTCGCCTAAAATTCTAGAGAGAGATAAATCAATGAAAATCGATCGTTCGAAGATTCTACAAGGAAATGATAGTCACGCGTTAAATAATAATAATCAGCCAAAGTGTTCGATGGTATCTGTCAAGTTTAAAATTTAAAAATCATGGAAAATTCGTTTCTGCTTTTTTTTTTTTTTTTTTATAATCGCTGGCCATCGATTTAATAAATTTAACGGCAGCTGTTCGAACTCCAAATTGAATAAAACTCGATCAACGACGTATCAGGTATCACGCAACTTGTACAGCTTCATACAGCTTGATACTCAAATAATTGCGGGCCAGGAATAATCGCGGCTAATTCTCTTTGAAGAGAACCCGGTGCAATGTTTGCTGCGAAACGAAGGAAACACGCGAGTTGTAATTGTTCTAGTTTTCCATAGTGTTGTAGTTTCGCTGCACACAGGGCTCAATATTACCGGACAATTTCCTAGGGTGTGCACTCGTAGACCTTCTGCGAAGCTCTCCGCAATATCCGCACTCTCGGAGAGTTAAGTGCACGACCACGTAGATATTGGCTCACCGACTCTTACCAACAGGTCAAACGGCTCCGAATTGAACCTGTCTTTCTTTCTTCGTTCAACAACATTTTGTCGTTCGACTCGCCATCCTCGCTTGAAACGAGGATTGCTATCGAACACATTTCAGTGTGCAGACAGAGAAGAATGCACACCATCCGTCGACAACGTGTGATTTCATAGAAATTTACGGGGAAATTTTGAAATTTTGAGAATGAAGAAAATCGCAGAAATGGAAACGCAAACATATGTAAACGGAAAAAAAAGAAAAATACACGGTACTGCATAAATCTCTGATGATAAGGGTCGTTTTTTGCTTGAAAGGAAAACGTGCACAACTTCACAGAAAAATTAATATACTTGTGCTCGCGGTAGATTTTGAAAATTACAAGATTGCAGAAATGCCGTAAAAAATCATCGCAGTCTGAGAATAATAAGAGCCGTTTCTGCTCTGAAAGAGAAAAAAATCTAAAGAATCGTGGATTATTTTAGAAAATTAATACACACTTGTTAAAACTCTTTGGAAACTGAAAACTACAGAAATGGAAACGCAAACATGTGTAAACGAAAAAAAAAAACGGTACTGCATAAATCTCTGATGATAAGGGTCGTTTTTTGCTTGAAAGGAAAACGTGCACAACTTCACAGAAAAATTAATATACTTGTGCTCGCGGTAGATTTTGAAAATTACAAGATTGCAGAAATGCCGTAAAAAATCATCGCAGTCTGAGAATAATAAGAGCCGTTTCTGCTCTGAAAGAGAAAAAAATCTAAAGAATCGTGGATTTTTTTAGAAAATTAATACACACCTGTTAAAACTCTTTTTGAAAACTGAAAACTGCAGAAAATGCAGACTAAGTACTGACAAAAAAATCCACGATCATTTTATAGAAAATTGATACACCTTTTAATAAAACTTTTAGAAAAAGGTCTAAGACGATGAGGGTGGTTTTTACTTTACCAAAACAGCGGCAACGCCTGTGTTGTTCAAACATTACGGTTGAAGAACGATTTACCGTACCATTCGTATCGTCGGTTAACGAGGGACTTTTATCTTGGGCGTGATGAATCCTAGGATCGGCCTGGGACAGCTGCCAAGCTTCGTAAGCTGTGTTAAAGGCCTGTGCCACCGTTAACGTCACCGTTTGCGCCATTTTTCTCTTGGGGCAGAGGAACGCGTGGCACTCCATCGTCTCGTTCAAATTCGTCGCGATGAACGCGAACACGTGATCGTGAGCTGCGTCCGCCGAGCAATATGAAATTCTGAAAAGAATCAGTACACATGGACGAAGGGAATCTCTGCAAGGCAACCAGTTACTCTGTTTCGCCATCAGAATTCATACGAGTGCCATAACGCCTCGGTATACAGTTACAGCTAACCGTCGTAATTACACTTACTTTTTTATCTCGAAAAATCGTAAAAGCACGTGAAATCGTAATCAAGAATACGTCATTATTTTCGCTAGGAAACAACAGGAACTGCAATTAAAGGGAAGTATAAAGCGAAAGGTTTCTTCTTTGAGACGCGTCGAACTGCATGCGAAATTGAAGAACAAAAAAAGAAAAAAGAAACTGCAGTTTTTCATGTCGAACAGCGCGCATTTCACAAAGTGAAAATAGATACATTTAATATTAAAAACGTAGGTTGAAACGTAGAGTTTCTCTCTCTC